TTTCCGCCACAGAACCAACTCAGAGCAAGCCAAAATCTTCATATTCTCTCAATCTCCTCCGGCTTCAGAGGAGCATCGGAAACCCTAATGGCTCTCAAGGCCGTTCCGATCATCGAGATCCCCACCATCGACCAAGTCCCGGAGCTTCATTCCCTCTCTGTTTCCTCCCTTTGCACAGCCAAACCGGCGAGATTCGCCGTAATCGGTCACCGCGGCAATGGGATGAACTCCATCTCATCGGCGATCGTGAGGGAGAATTCGATCCTATCCTTCAACTCCGCCGCCCGTTTCCCGATCCCCTACATCGAATTCGATGTTCAGGTAACCCGCGACGGCGTTCCCATTATTTTTCACGACGATTTTATTCTTTCCGGCAATGTTGACGCCGTGTTCGAGCACCGCGTCACGGATCTCTCCCTTGAGGAGTTCCTCTCGTACGGCTCCCAGAGGAAGCCGGAGCAGATCCGGTCCGGGAAGCCTCTCCTCCGTCGCTCCGCCGATGGGATGGTCTTCGATTGGGTGGTCGAGGCTGATGATCCGCTCTGCACGCTGGAGGAAGCGTTCCGTCAGGTCGATCCCCGGTTGGGCTTCAATATTGAGCTCAAATTTGATGACAATCTCCACTACCCCGAAGAGGATCTAATCAATACACTCCAGATTGTTCTTCGATCGGTATCCGTGAACGCCGGGGCGAGGCCGGTGATCTTCTCGTCGTTTCAGCCGGATGCCGCGCGTTTGATTCGGCGGTTGGAGCGAAATTACCCCGTCTTCTTCCTCACCGATGGGGGGCTGAAGATCCACGGAGATGAAAGGAGGAATTCGTTGGAGGCGGCGGTGAAGCTCTGTGTTGAGAACGGGTTGGAAGGGATTGTGTCGGAGGTGAGGGCGGTGTTGAGGAATCCGGCGGAAGTGGCGGGGATCAAGGAAGCGAATCTCCGGCTGCTGACGTATGGAGGATTGAACAACACGGCGGAGGTGGTTTATATGCAGCAGATGATGGGGATTGATGGGGTGATTGTTGACAGGGTGAAGGAGGTGAGCGAGGCGGTTTTGAGGTTTTCAGGCGAGGAGGGTGGAGAGGGGAGGCCGAATTTCTCGGAGGCGCAGCTCTCGTGCATCCGGAAGCTCGTTGCTGAATTAGTGCGGCAGTAATTAGTAAAAAAAAATGTGGGGGAAATGGGAAATTGGTTGTTTTTATTTTATTTTATTTTATTTTTTTGGGATCTCAGCAAATGTAGGGATGGATTGTTGTGTGCAAATGAAATAAAGAAGAAGGGGGATCTCAGCAAATGTAGGAATGGATTGTTGTGTGCAAATGAAATAAAGAAGAAGGAATCCAACAACAATTTAGCTGGCAATTTGTTGGCCTGTGGGTTGGGGAAGCTGAGGGCAAAATATTATCTAGATTAATTTATTTAAAGTGAATTGTATATATGCTCTTTTATTGAATTTACACACTATATTATTATAAAAAAAAAAAGAAATGTATATATGGATTTGAAAGAGATTGAATATTAGTGTGTAAATTCAATAAAATATGAGGGCGGTGTTGAGGAATCAATGATGAGATTATAGTAAATAGTATTTAAACATTAAAAAATTTTTTGAATATTTTTTAACCATTAAAAAATTAATAGTATTTAAACATTAAAAAATATTCAAAAATAAGTTAAGATTACTTATCCTAATATATATATATATATAAAAGGAAAAATAAGCATGAGAGAGCATCGCATTAATTGGGAGGTCTAATTTTAAAAATAAACATGAAAAATGATTTAATTAATTTAAATAATATTGAAAAAAAATACCCAACCAAACATTCAAGGCACCCTTCCTCACAGGCACTTTGATTGAGTTCAAAATTTTCTTCAAAAGAATTTTGAAGTCTAGGCCCAGAGAAAATTTTATATCCGGACATTGCATGAAATTGCCGGGCACTACGTCGTCATATATGTCGGCGTCAGATGATGTGATGCCCGGTGGATATCTAGACACTGCATGTAATCACCGGGCACCACGTCGTCATACATGTCGGCATCATAAGATGTGACGCCCGGTGGTTAGCCGACCTGGC